TTAGTTCCTATGACAATACCTGGCACAAAGTGTGGCTCAGTAGTGGCTCAAACATATTTGTTGAATGAATGTAAAAAAACAAAAAAACATCTATTAGATCTTGACCCGAGGTGGGCTTTGATCAGAGAGGGGATGAATAACATTTTTAGGTAGACAGAAGGGGGTACCTGGGAAGCATTTATGTGTGTATCTTGAGGGGTAGTTTTATGAGGAAAACACCTATATCTTTTGTAATTCTACCTAAAGTCCACCCCATAAATTTCCCTTTTACATATGCTTTTGAACCTGAATCTACAGACCTATTTTGCTTTCATTTCCTCTATGCATTTTATCTAGCTTCCCCTATTTGGGGAAAATTTTCTAATGTAGATATTTCTTCATTTTGGAATTTATTTGAGCTCTCTGATGGGATCATCAAAGGCTTTCACTATACACCACATTTTCACTTTTGATTAAAAAAAAAAAAGAAGTTTATTGTTGGCCCTTACCTTTTGTTTCCTCTATTCCCTCCATCTAATAATTAACTTTCAGACGTTCCACCTATAGATGATCTAGACAATATGACACCCAAGACTCTCATTTCTTTCCATCTTTCTTCTGAGAGTATGCATTTTGTGGAGTTGCAATCCTTAGGTGAACTAGACTTTATAATTAGGAATCCTTAATAAGATGGAAATAGGGATGAGGTAAAGTTTATTACTAGTGGTAGATTTTGTTAATCTCTGATGAAAACAATATTACAAGTAAGAATATGAGCCTGGCTGGTTGGCAGGCCCTTTTCAACTTTGACTTCTTTGTAAAAATTCCCCACAGAGCTGGGAAATGGGCTAGCATTCATATGAAGCAGTAGTATAGGCGGCAGAACTGTCTTTGAGATGTTTACTTCCTCCTTTAACCTGTTTCCCCACCTCATCATAATGGATTCTAAGGAATAGTGTCTTAGTTTTTTAATGCTGCTATAACAGAAATACCACTAGTAGGTGGCTTTAAAGAACAGAAATTTATTTTCTCACAGTTCAGGATGCTATAAGTCTGGATTCAGGACACTGGCTCTGATGGAAGGCTCTCTCTCTGTTGGCTCTGGGGCAAAGTCAGTTCCCTGGCAATCTTCACATGGCATCTACCTTCCCCCTCTTTGTGCTTGCTTATCTCTGTGTCTATGCTGCTCCTTATAACTCAGAAGTGATTAGGTTTCAGACACACCCTACCTTGATATGGATTCATTAACATAACAAAGAAAACACTATTACCAAATGGGATTACATATATCCACAGGTACAGTGGTTAGGATTCCAACTCTTATTTTTTAAAAAAACAAACTCATTGCCTTTGAGTTGATTCCGACTCATAGCAACCCTATAGGACAGAGTAGAACTGCCCCATAGGGTTTCCAAGAGCACCTGGTGGATCTGAACTGCCGACCTTTTGGTTAGCAGCCATAGCTCCTAACCACTATGCAACCAGGGTTTCCAACTCTTATTTTAGGGGGACACAATTCAATCCATAACAAGTAAGTTTGCAGTAAAGAGTTAACATAGCAAACCTGAGGCACTATCTTTAGAAGAATCTGCTTGCAAGATTGGCCTTTAGCTGGTATCTGGCCACTCAACTTTAAAAAAATTCCCTACATTTTTAGGAAAAGTTGCCTAATTGATAGGAGTATCTTACTGTGCCTATCTTGGGTGGCTCAGATGGTTAACACATCGGCTGCTAACCGAAAGACTCATGGTTTGAGTCCACCCAGAGGCTCCTCAGAAGAAAGGTCTGTAGATCTACTTAAAAAAAAAAAAAAAAAAATCAGCCACTGAAAACCCTATGAAGTGCAGTTCTACTCTGCAGCACGTGGGGCCGCCATAAGTTCGAATCAACTATGGCAACTGGTTTTTCAGACTGTATAAACAATGTGATTTATGGTGAACACCTGCTTTCCTTCTAGATGTCTGGGATTTTGGTAGTTGCTAGGCAGAGGGTCTCTATGAGTCGGCATCAACTTGACGGCAGTGGGTTAGGCAGAGGGTGCTTATATGACCCAATACAAACTTTGGCCTCTGAGTCATTAATAGGCTTCCCTGGAAAGAAACATTACCTACTTGTTGTGTTTTCACAGCTGGAGAAAGGAGCACGTTTGATGTGTATCCTCCAGGCTGGGAGGGATAGAGTATCGGAAACTTGTGCATTAATTTCTTTAGACTCAACTTGCATCTTTCCCCCTGTGATCTGGCTGTTTATCCTTACTTTGTGACTGTAATAAATCTTAGATACAAGTATGACTACATTCTGAGTCCTGTGACTTCTTCTAGAGAATCGTTAAATATGTGGGTGGTCTTAAAACCGGTTCCTGTTGCCATTGAGTCGATTCCGGCCATTGAGTCAATTCTGACTCATAGCAACCCTATCGGACAGAGTAGAACTGCCCCATAGGGTTTCCAAGGAGCAGTTGGTGTATTCGAACTGCTGACCTTTTGGTCAGCATCTGTAGCTTGCCATAGCTCTTAACCACTATGCCACCAGGACTCCTGTGTGGTCCTGAGGACCCCCCAAATAATAGGAATAGCACCGAATATTCTTCCTCTTCTCCACAATTTCTTCTTCCAAACAGTTACCATCTTATATGCCTTCTCATGCTCCAGTCATCTATTAAAATTTCTCACTAGGGTTACACTGGGTACAGAAGTCTCACAAAGGCAGTAGCTAAACAGGGTCACACTACAGGATTTAAAAGCACTGAAGTCAAAATACAATGCATTAAAATGATCATGGAAGGAATAAAAAATTAGAATAAAGAAATAGTGGATTTAATACATCTGAAAGGAAAGTAATTGACACAAATCAGCTGTCTACAAGAATACATATTAACTAATTAACTATTTTAATTAAACTAGTATTTATTTAGTATGTTAGTAGGCAAATGGCTTACGCTCTTATTTGATAGTAGGATATCATAGGATATTAAAAAACAAACAAACCAGTTGCCATCAAGCTGATTGCAACTCATGACAACCCCATGTGTTAGAGAGTAGAACTGAGCCCTATAGTGTTTTTCGTGGCTGTAATCTTTATGGAAGCAGATCACCAGGCTTGTCTTCTGCAGCGTTGCTGGGTGGGTTTGAATCACTAGTCTTTTGGTTAACAGCTAAGAGCAAACTGTTTGTGTTACCCAGGGACCATCATGGAATATTAGAGTCTGATACTTAAAAATTCATAAACTCAAATATCTGGGAGGATGTGCAGTTAACATAAATGCACAAAGCAGGCCATGAATAAGATAACCATTAAGCTGCTCTAACATCTTCTAGTTACTACCTTTAAACCCCAATGAAAGAACAATAAAGGGAAACACAGTAGTGGCTACCTATGATAAGTGTGCTTTCAATCCCCATAATCATCAAGCAAGGAGCCCTGGTGGCACAACAGTTCAACACTTGGCTGTTAACCAAAAAGTTGGCAGTTGGAAAGACCTGGCAATCTGCTCCCATAAAGATTACAACCTAGAAAACCCTATGGGGCAATTCTACTCTGTCTTATGGGTCACTATGAGTCGAAATCAACTAGATGGCACCTAACAATAACAATGATCATCAAGCATTTGAGGAAAGCTATCAGTCAGATATTTTTATTAAGAGTTTCTATTATATGGATTATGGACATTAAGTATTTTTATCATAAAGATCATCAGTCTGGGAGGGGGACTGAAGTGAAGGAAAAATAAACTGTAGATGAATATATTGGGATACTATTTGTGGTAAAGGACAACCATGTAAGTCAATTTTCTCTAAGAAGAAAGAGAAGACCTAGTCAGTCCTGCCATAAGGATCTGTGTTCTGCCATCATCTGAGTTATTTCTTTTTAAAACAATATTTTATCTTATTCCAATCTCCTTCTTCCTTTTACCTCAACCAGCTATTCTGGAAAATTATGGATAAAGAGTCTATGCATAGCAGATCGTACAGTTCTAATATTCTAAAAAGTACCATCTAAGAGAACATTTAAGCTAGGGTGGGATTGAATTAAGTTTCCTAGGTTTTTAACACCCAGCCAAAAATTCTGAAGGATGAAAGAAAAACCTGTGTTTTTTATTTAAAGGAGGATATATGTATGTGTATGTGTATGTGTGTGTGTGTGTGTGTGTGTGTGTGTGTGTGTGTGTATGAGTGTGTATGTATATCTATGTATGTATCTCTCTGGTGGTTAAGTTCTTGGCTGCTAACTGAAAGGTCGGCAGTTCGAATCCACCAGCGGCTCTGTAGGAGAAAAGATCTGGTGATCTACTCCTGTAAAGATTGTTGTTGTGTACCATCGAGTTGGTACACAAAGTTCAACTTCATCCTATAAGGTTCCTATGAGCCATAAAGATTCAGCCTAGGAAACCCTACAGGAAAGTTTTACTGTCATATAGGGTCATTATGATTTCAAATTGACTCAATAGCATACAACAACATACAACTCGTTGTTAAGAGCACACATTTGCTTTTGAGTCAGACTGACATTGGTTCAAACTTCCACTGTACACCACTGTGTGATCTTGGAGAAGTTACTTGGCTTTTGTAAAGTTCCATTTCCTCATCCATGAAATAATGATGATAGTACCCACTTGATAAGGTTGTAAGGATAATATACTTAAAGCGCTTAGCACACATAGGCAGTCAGTAAAATATAGTGGTGGTAGCGGTAGCGATGATGATAATGGCAATGGTGGTGGGGGTGATGGTGATGATGGAGGAGATGGTTGTGGTGTTGACTTGAAGAAAGCTTTGGGACCTTTTATTAGAGCAATGGAGAATTTCTTCAAATGAAATTTTAATGGGAAACACAACATCAAACAGGTAAACAAGAGTTGCTTAGACTAAAAGTGGAATGGGAGCTGTCTCTCAGCAACCCTTTCTCTCTGACATCTGCCCTACCTTTGAGATCCCAGAGTTTACTGTGGAGCCCTCAGCACTCAGTAAAATATAGTTTGAAAATCTACTCACCTAAAGAAATGGAAAGAATTGTTTACTTACTTTAGATCAATGGTAGGTTTAATGTTTCTGGGAGGTAGGCTTGGGGGTGCTGATTGTGTTGGATGAGATGCTGGCAATGGTGGTTGGCTGGCTGGATGGGATGGTGGAGGTGGTGGTAGGGAAGTTGTTGAGTAAGATGCTTGGCTTTTGCTGGTACCTAAGAAAAAGGCAAAGAATACCGTGACTTAAGACAAATCTTCAAAACACAAGAACTAGCTGTTTCAGGTAAACGGAGATGAGGGTCTTGAACATAAAATGTTAGAAATATATCCCAGGTTAAATCAACATGACATTGGTGGAACCAAAAAAATTCCCAGGTCCTCACAGCTACTACAGCCTCCACCAGACTTGAGTCCAGCACAACTAGATAAGTGTTCAGCTACCACCGCTGCTGCTCTGACAGGGATCACAATAGAGTCCCAGACAGAGCAGGAGAAAAATGTAGAACAAAATTTAAACTCACAAAAAAAGACTGGACTTACTGGCCTGACAGAGTTTGGAGAAACCCCAAAAGTATGCCCCCTGGGCACCCTTTTATCTCAGTAATGAAGTCACTCCTGAGGTTCAGCCTTCAGCCAAAGATTAAACAGGTCCATAAAACAAGACTAAAGGGGCACACTAGCCCAGGGGCAAGGACTAGAATGCAGGAGGGAACAAGAAAGCTGGTAATAGGGAACTCAAGGTCCAGAAGGGAAAGTGTTGACATATTATGGTTGGTAACCAATGTCACAAAACAATGTATATACTGTTTAATGAGAAGCTAGTTTGTCCTGGAAACCTTTATCTAAAGTACAATTAAAAAAAAAAAAAAATTCCCAGGTCCTGTTGGCTACATGGTGAATAGAATTGCTTGTCTCTGCTATCTTCCTCCTTTACTTTGACCCTCTTCCTCTCTGTCATTCCTCTATTCACTTTCTGATTTCATATATTGTATTTTTGAATTATGCATGTTGCCTAGGGGTTCACTGACTATGAATGAAGTTTGTATTTCTTTTATTATTATTTATTGTGTTTCAGGCAAAAGTTTACAGTGCAAAGTAGTTTCTCATTCAAAAAATTATACACAAATTTTTTTTTTTTATTGTGCTTTAGGTGCAAGTTTACAGAGCAAATTAGTTTCTCGTTAAAAAATCTATACATAAATTGTTTTGTGACACTGGTTGTAATTCTTGCAATGTGTCAGCACTCTTCCTCTTTTCCTTTAAACCCTGGATTCCCCCTGTCCATTGGTCCAGGTTTCCTTTCCCTTCCTGCCTTCTCATCTTTGCTTTTGGGCAGGTGTTGCCCATTTGGTCTTGTATACTTGACTGAACTAAGAAGCACATTCCTCATGTGTGTTACTGTTTATTTTATAGGCCTGTCTAATCTTTGGCTGAAAGGGTGGACTTTGGGAGTGGTTTCAGTTGTGAGTTAGCAGGGTGTCCGGGGATAAGAGTGTCACGCGTTCCTCCAGTCTCTGTCAGATCAGCAAGTCTGGTCTTTTTTTGTGAGTTTGAATTTTGTTCTACATTTTTCTTCTCCTCAGTCTAGAACCTTCTATTGTGATCCCTGTCAGAGCAGTCAGTGGTGGTAGCCAGCTACCATCTAGTTCTTCTGGGCTCAGACAGGTGAAGGCTGTGGTTCATGTGGTCCATTAGTCCTTTGGACTAATATTTTCCTTGTGTCTTTGGTTTGCTTCATTCTCCTTTGCTCTGAACATGATGGGACCGATAGATAGATTGTAGATGGCCATGTGCAAGTTCTTAAGACCCGAGATACTACTCACCAAAGCAGGATGTAGAACGTTTTCTTTATGAATTATGCCAATTGACCTAGATGTCCCCAGAGACCATGGTCCCCAGCCCTCAGTCCCAGTAACTCGATTCCTCAAGGTGTTTGGATGTGTCTAGGAAGCTTCCATGGCTTTGTCTTGGTCAAGTTATGCTGACTTCCCCTATATTGTTGCTGTCTTTCCTTTCATCAAAGTTAACACTTGTCTATTATCTAGTTAGTAACTTCATCTCCCCACCCCTCCCTTCTTTTGTAACCATCAAAGATTGGTTTTTTTTCTGTGTGTAAATCTTTTCTTGTGTTTTTATAATAGTGGTCTCATACAATATTTGTCCTTTCGTGGTTGACTTATTTCACTCAATATAGTGCTGTCCAGATTCATCCATGTTGAGATGTTTTGCAGATTCATCACTGTTCTTTATTGTTGTGTAGTATTCCATTGTGTGTATGTACTATAATTTGTTTATCCATTCATCTGTTGATGGGCACTTAAGTTGTTTCCATCTTTTTGCTATTGTGAACAATGCTGCAATGAACATAGGTGTGCATATGTCTATTCATGTGGCAGCTCTTATTTCTCTAGAATATATTCCTAGGAGTAGGATTGCTGGATTATATGGCATTTCTATTTCTAGTTTTTTAAGGAGGCGCCATATCGTTTTCCATAGTGGTTGTATCATCTATAGAGTCGCTATGAGTTGGAATCAACTTGACGGCAACGGGTTTGGTTTTTCTTTTTTTTAATTAGCAGTACATAAGAGTTCTTATCTCCCCACAACATCTCCAACATTTGTTATTTTGTTATTTTCTGTGTTTTTCATGCGTGCCAGCAATGTTGGGGTGAGATGGTATCTCATTGTATTTTTGATTTGCATTTCTCTAATGGCTAATGATCAGGAGCATTTCCTCATGTGTCTGTTAGCCGACTGAATGTCTCCTTTGGTGAAGTGTCTGTTCATATCCTTTGCCCATTTTTTAATTGGATTATTTGTCTTTTTGTTATTGAGATGCTGAAGTATTCTATAGATTTTAGAGATTAGATCCTTGTCAGATATATCATAGGCAAAATTTTTTTTCAGTCTGTAGGTTCTGTTTTTACTCTTTTGGTAAAGTCTTTTGATAAGCATAAGTGTTTAATTTTTAGGAGCTCCTAGTTATCTAGTTTATCTTCTGGTATTTGTGAATTTTTAGTTACAGTTTGTATTGAATTTATGCCATGTATTAAGGCCCCTAGAATTATCCCTATTTTTTCTGCCATGATCTTTAACATTTTAGGTTTTATATTTAGATCTTTGATCCATTTGGAGTTAGTTTTTGTGTATGGTGTGAGGTATGGGTCCTGTTTCATTTTTTAAGAGATGGACATCCAGTTTTGCCAGCACCATTTGTTAAAAAGACTGTCTTTAACACATTTAATCGACTTTTCGTTTCTTTGTCAAAAATCAGCTGTCCATTTATACCTGGGTTTTCCATTCTGTTCCATTGGTCAATGTGTCTGTTGTTGTACCAGTACCAGGCTGTTTTGATTACTGTGGCTGTATAGGTTCTGAGATCAGGTAGTGTGAGGCCTCCTACTTTGTTCTTTTTCTTCAGTAATGCTTTGCTTATCTGGGGCCTCTTTCCTTTTCATATAAAGTTGCTGATTAGTTTTCCATCTCATTAAAGAATGCTGTTGGTATTTGGATCAGAATTGCATTGTATCTGTGGATCACTTTAGGTAGAATTGACATTTTCACAATATTGAGTGTTCCTATCCACAAACATGGTATGTTTTTCCAGTTATGTACGTCTCTTTTGGTTTCCTGCAATAGTATTTTGTAGTTTTCTTTGTATACGTCTTTTACATCCCTAGTTAGATTTATTCCTATGTATTTTATCTTTTATCTTTTTAGGGGCTATTATAAATGGTATTGCTTTCCTAACTTCCTTTTTGAAGTTCTCTTTCTTGGTGTGTAGGAATCCAACTGAATTTTGTATGTGGATCTTGTATCCTGCTACTCTATTGAATCTATTAGTTCCAGTAGTTTTCTCATGGAATCTTTGGGGTTGTCTATGTACAGGATCATACCATTTGTGAATAGGGAAAATTCTTCCTTTCTAATTCCTTTTCTTATCTTATTGCTCTAGCAAGGACTTCCAGCACAATGTTAAATAGGAATAGTGATAAAGGGCATCCTTGTCTTGTTCCCATTTTCAGGGGGAATGCTTTCAGCCTCTCTCTGTTAGTTTTGTAAAGATGCCCTTTATTATGTTGAGGAATTTCCCTTCTATTCCTATTTTATTGAAAGTTTTTATCAGGAATGGGTGTTGGACTTTATTAAATGTCTTTTCTGTGTCTATTGAGATGATCACGTGATTCTTTTCTTTTATTCTATTTACATCGTGCCTTCTCGTACTTCCTGTCTGGGGTCATTGCTGGCTGTGCTCCAAGATGGTGATGCCGTGCTGTGTTAGTTAGTAGGGGACCTCCACTCTGTATCTCTCCTCGTTCTCTGTTTTCCTTCAGTTTTTTCTTCCATTCAGTGTTTGATCTAGTTCTTTATCCCTTCATTTGATGGTTAAGGTTCCAGTATGGACATTTGTATCTATTTTTACTTGATTTTTCAGGCCTTTGCTGCAGAGGAACGGCATGATGTGTCCGTTTAGGGCAACATGTTGGTTCCATCTTCAGAGTTTGTATTCCTTATTCCCCTTGTTTTAGGGTAGCTTTTTGAGAGGAAAAGGAGATGCTACCTTGAAAACATTTTGTTTTAATTTGACATGACTTTGATCACAAATAAGGTCAATTTTTTAATATTTATAACCATTTTTCTTTTTGATTGTATTATCTATTCAAATCCTTGCCTATTTTTGGGTAATATTTTTGTTTTCTTATTGGTTTATTGTTGTTGTTGTTAGGTTTACAAAACCTCTCTCTCTATATTATATCAATCTTTTTGTCTCTCACATGGCCAAACTGAATATAATTTAGCTGCTTTGTCTTCTGCCTTTGCCTGCGTGCATGTAAAAAACCAAAATAGACCATAACCAATAACCTATCTTTCAAACCTTTGAAGAAAACATAGCACTTTACTGTAAATTTCCTTCAGGGAGTATTGGAAGGGTTTTACACAGCATATTGCATAAAAAGCTGCCTAACTATTTTTAGAAATTTTGCCTTCTTTTCAAAATTTTTCACTTATGGTATTTGTTAAAAATATTACCCCCTCTCTTCATTCTCTCTCCTCACTGTCACAATGCTCTTCTTCTTCTTAGAGTCTTTAAACTTGCTCAGGCCCTGCACTCCTGACTTGTGATACTATCTGCCAGGGCAGTTCTCACAAGTATTGCTCATCCCTTCTTCAACTGTAATTTTTTTTGGGGGGTGGTTGGGGTAGGGACAATTAA